CTTCCCCACAGCACCCTCTTCCTGTTATCACTTTCAGCCCTATGTTACCCAAATGATGATTCGATGATTCTATTGTGTTCGAGAAATTAAGGGCAGTGGCAGAGTGTTGATACTGGGATCTCTCCCTCCCCTTGTTAATCAGAGAATGGCTGGAGGCATCTGATACAACTGGTACTTTGTGGTGGAATAAAAAAATAAGAAAGCAACACACTACTTTAGACAAGAATCGTGGTTTCTTTCAGGTAGAGCCTGGATCAGGGCTATCTTAACGCATGGACCTGATGGGCACTTTCCCGTGGGCCCTACGACCCTAGGGGTTCCATACTGTGTATGTTAACCCTTCAATGCACCTTGTATCATAGAAAGACAGCAACTGTATGGCTTACTGGGCATCACTGTGTTTTTCAAGCCTTGTGTATTGTTCAGATGTTTATCATGTTGTTGATCAGTTGTTGCTGCACAGCATGTTTTTAATGTTTCAACACCGATTTTGTTGGAAGTGCCAATAAAATAAATATATGTTTAATTTTATTGACCATTTACATTTTTATTCCTGTGCGTTGTTGTCGTAGGGGCCCCAGGACACTGCTTTGCCCGAGGCCCATAATGCTCTTAAGATGGCCCTGGCCTGGAGAAGACCTAGGATACTTTAGCTTAAGGTTCTGCACTGCCTGTTGGTATCTGCTGAACAGTTGTGAAGATGCCGTTATCCTGCTGCCCAAAAGGATCCCTCCTCATGTCCAGTTTAGATGACTTTATGGCCCTGACCACAACCCCTTTCTTCTGTGTGGTGAAGCTACATGGGCTACTTTACAGGAGCTTACACCAGTAGTTATTGACACAGATACCTAATGCGGGCTGGAATAGCAACCTTTTAACATCAGTGGCATTGGTCCACTTAATGCAATATTTGCATTAACCTCTGTTATTCAACATCTACCTGAATCTTGAGGAAGAGAAAGAAACCCTGATGTCTGGAGGCTTTTGTTATCTGGAGAGGAAGAAACAAGCAAAGACTGAATCCATGCAAGAAGGAGATGTTGTTTGTGCAGAAACTGTTTGGCAAGCTACTTCTCATAGGAATAATTCTGTTCCTTTGAAGAAGGTCGCCAATCTAGAGTTATCCTAGATATGGCTAGTGCTGGACAGGCAGGTGGAGACTATGGATAGAGAGGTCTGGGTCCAGATTTAACTGGTGTTCCAACTGCAGGCCTTCTTGGAAGGCTTCATGGAGGCATCCTATTTATTAACTGGTACCAATATTAGCATTCAGTAAGTAGTATTTAAACTAGTTTAAACAGTCAAGGGATTACAGACTGGTAAAAGGAGTTAAACTAGTTTAAACAATATAATAACTGTCTTGTAGGAGCCTCATTGATCCTATTCACGGTGCTGTATATGAACAGCCCAACTCCTAGCCATCATAAACAATCTCAGAGGAATACCGTTGTCAATTATATTGAAAGTTTCTAAGACATGTAAAATATCCAGGAGGAATGCATTCTCCACATCCATTTCTAGCATAGATCATCCATTAGCCTGAACTCTGAACTGAAATGTATATATGCCATAAGAAAGGGGAACAAATGAAAATATGGATTTACTTAGCTCAGTTTCCATGTAAAAACCAGTACGGTGATCCTTATCTTTGTTAGATGTTGCACTGGAGTGGAAAGTTAGTTATTTGATTGTAATGATGTTATCTAGAAATAGCAAGAATGCCCTAAAAGAAGAAGGATAAGGGGACAGATTAATTAATTTCTAGAAGATTTGGCCATTTGTACACCTGATTTTCATTTTCATTCCTTCCATTGTCCAATACAACACTTAACTTGTGATCCACGTCATTGTGGTTCTCATTGATCAGTATTGACAATTGGCTCCAAGTCTCTGCAGTTGAGCTGCGGAAGAACCGTGTCACTAGGAATAAACTTGAAGTTTTCGCAATGAGGGTATTTGCTGCACTGAGCCACCTAGCCCTTAGCCCTACATGATATTGTAGTTGGTTTGAGGTAAGTGGGACACTTGGAGGAGTGTTGCTTAGAACATGTCTCAGAATCTTTTGAGTATTAGAAAACTTGCTGCATATTCCTTAGTAAGTGGAGGGTCTTTATATTAAAGTGTCCTACAGTGAAGTTATTGGAAAAGCACAATCTATCCAGGAATCAGGCCATGTTCTTGGAACCTTCAGAAGTTTTGGCCATGTTCTTGTGGACTCCATTTGTTTGTTGCTGGGACTGATGAGTACCATGATCCAAAAATGTAGAATGTACCAAATTCCCTACTGTAAGTGGGTGCTTATGAACTATTATTGACAGGGAGAGTGAAAAAATAGCAGAACAATTTATATCGCTATTAGGAAAAGAGACTGTTCGTTTGCTGCTGGAATGGATATCTGTCCTGGACAAGCCAATTCACACATTCATGGGACTGAGATTCTCAATAAATTGGCAGACAATGGTTCAATCACAAGGAAGCCTTGTATGTGAGTGGACATTTCTTCTGTCCAGAAGTCGTGTCAACGGGTAGAACATTCTGATGATCCTGCTGCTGTGTCTCTGATGTTAGACCAAGAGGGCAGTGCCCAGTGAATGTGTTGTGTTGCCATTCATGAACTTTGGTTGTGAATGAGGCTCATGTGGACAGATGGATGTTCACAGCAAGGAAAGTGGGCATTCTCAAGGAACAGGAGAGGAGGAAAAGATGTGAAGGTTGAACTGGGAGTACAAAAAATTTGGAAGGCTATTTGCCCCCGTAACCCATTTATTCGATCAGAAGCATCATGAGGTTTATTTTGGTAATAAATATAATTCAGAGCCGAGTGGCCATCAAACCGAAATGATCATTCTTAAAATGAGATTCCCTCCTTTCTTAAACGTCTTCTTTTAGCATAATGGCACAGTTATGAGATGATGGGATGAAACTTCTACTTCTTATTCAGAAGAACTGCTGATTATAAACAGTTAAAATTTAATTTATCAGTAACACTGCATGAATAGATAGCATGGAATGTAAATCTTTCCTTTTCAGAATCACATCCATGAACTTCTCTGGACTTATTTACAGAGCAAGGGCTACCAACCTCTGCCTTTTATTTTATGTGTACAGGTTATCTGCTCTTACTTTCTCTTTTTTATTCTGTGCCCCACTATCTGATTTTTTTATTAGCCTCCCTTTCTAAGTCCCCTGAAATCTCTGCCTTCCTGCCTTATAAAGAGCTGGCCAGTAAACCTTTACTTGTTTTAGAAGATTGCAAGTAAAGTTAGTAAACTACTCTTTCATCATAGGCTCCTGCTATTTTTCATTCTGGAATATGACCCACAGTCCTGGGGATTAAGATGCTATGAATTTTAGGACACAGCTTAGCACTATGACTTGGAAAAAAAAAATGAAATAGAAACCAAGCTTCTATTTCAGTGGTTTTCTTGGCAATTGATATTCTTTTCTCTCTAGTGTCTGAACAGCACTTCTATTATACCTATTATCTCTGTTAATAAGCCACCCGTTGGTTTTGACAAAAACTACCATGGCTTCACCTACTGGGATTAAAGTATTGTGTGTATCTTGATTCTACAGGGGAAAAAAATCCTAAAATATTTCTGATTGATTCCAGAACTCAGAAATCTGGAATATCAGACTGTACGTAACCAAGAGAAAAGGGAATTGATTAGTATTAATACCCTGATAGTATCTGATGAGTGTCAAAAGATGGAGTTTTTATTTATTAAAAAAGTTTCAATAGTCGTCCATCTCACATGTAGGTGACTCTGTGTTTTAGGTAATTCCCTGTTAGGAGAATGAGCGCATTCAGGGAGACGTAGTGACTGTAATGCTGAATAATACACACACAGCACACAGATACACTGTACAGTAAATGTAGGTTTTTACTTCCAATAAACGTTTAAGCAAAGTTCAAACACAGTCCAAGTCATTCACGGTTAAATCAGTCAGTTTTCAGTCCAGGGATAATCCAATAACAAAGTCCAGTATCAAAAACAGTTCAGTAACAGACTTACATCAAATCCAAGAATAACAGTCAATTAGGAGGAACGGCAATACTCTCCAACAGAAGGAAACAGAGACTCATTCACACTCTCTTCTGAGACGAAACAACCCAGGTTTCTGGCTCCATCTTATGGCCATTTGAGAAACCACACCCAATTACAGTTTTTGCATTTTCTTAAAGATACAGTATTAAAATGTCTATTCTGGTTTATATATTTCCTGGTTTATATATTTCCAACCCAAATAACTGTTAGGTGACTTACATTCCTAACACTCCGCATGGCTTACAAAATTTAGAATGGTTTCTCTAATTTGTTTGTTGAACTTCTTGAGAGCCCAAGATACAAAAGCAGCCAACGTCACTCTTTGAGGATTTTGGATTTCATGTTGGTTCCTCTCTGATTAGTATCACTTTCAAACTTGCTATTGAATTCTGGAGATTGCTATAGTCTTTGATTTCCAGCACCATTTCTCTCCCCTTTTCCAACCCTAGTCTTAGAAAAACCAGATCACTGCAATGCAGTATTGTACATTATAAAATTACAAATCCACTGGATCACATCAAAATCTTTTATAGTTCTATGTTTGTTTTTCAGTGACCAGCTAGGTGCTCTTGAGAAGTGCACAATAAATGTGCCCTTTGACTTTGTAAAGACTGTAGTGTTCTTTGTTTCTGGTGTGGCTATATAATTTCATTCCTCTCTGGATTGTTATATCTATCTCTCTTTTATGCTAGAGTGAATTGTCCCCTGATGTGATGAAAGTAGCCAAGAAATAAACTTTGTCAGGCAGGACTGAAGCTCTCCAGATGTTTCCCCCCGCCTCTGCTTTTTAGGAAGCAAAGGAAGCGGGTGGAGGGGAGTAAACAGTGAAGAATAGATTTGAATTACCATAACCACAGATGAAGGGAAATCTCCTTGTAGCCATACTGATATCTGCCATATTGTTGGCATCCTCAGAATATTGGACCTCTTTGATCTATCCTTTCTCCACAGGTCTACACCCGCTATGGAAAATGCTACACATTCAATGGTGACCGAAACAAAGCACGGATGACTCGCCAGAGTGGGATGGGGAACGGGCTGGAGATCATGTTGGATATCCAACAGGAGGAATACCTGCCCATCTGGAGAGAAACCAGTAAGAGCTTGCATGATATTAGGAAGAGAGATGATTCTGGAGTCCTTACGTTATTAGTATTAGTCCAGAGGGCTATCCTGTCCTGACTTTCTATTTTATTCCTTTTATGCATGACAGATATTAAGCAGCACAGTGGCCTAAAGATGAAGATACTCACCTCTCACTTGGAAGGTTGAGAGTTCAATCCTAGGCAGCGGCAGATATTTCTCTATCTGGATGCAAAGAGAAAATATCCGCTACAAACTCAGCTTAGGCGTAAGGAAGGGCATCCCACCAGTAAATGCTCAGCTCCATTCAGTTGCCTTCTCTACACTGAATAAAGGAATTAAAGGGTCGTAAAAAGAAAAGGTGCATGTAAAATATTACATTCAATCCCAAAAGCACAGAAATATTGATTGAATTACTGTCTGTCTTCAGGTGAAACTAACTAAGAGTCCCAAATGTGTTACGTGTAATAATAAAAAATTCTGTATCAGGTTTCTGTTCTCCCCCAGATGTGTTGGGAGCAGAGGTGGTATTCAGCAGGTTCTGACCAGTTCTGGAGAACCAATAGCGGAAATTTTGAGTAGTTCGGAGAACCTGCAAATCCCACCTCTGACTGGAGATTTTACAGTCTCCTTCCCCTGCCACGCCCACCAAGCCACGCCCACAGAACCTGTAATAAAAAAAATTAAATCCCGCCACCGTTTGGGTGTTGAAGATCCAAGTTCCCAAAGTTAGGAAAGCTGCTGCATGCCCTGTTCAGTACCTGAATATCAAAAATACAAAATATATACAGATAGTTTGGTTATCACTCCATCTTTTGTGCAAATGACAGCTTTTAGAATAATTTCTGATCCCTTAATAATAAATGCAATCCAGGCCGTGTGACTGGGAGGATGGAGGGTGGCTCGGAAAGCAGAGCTGGCAACTCCTTTCCAACATTGGGTTTGGTTGGATATAATACAGAGGTTAATTATGGTGGATATACCACCACGTCAGACTCATAAAAAAGTAATGTATCAATTCTAGAGATCCTGGCAGCATATCTGTGACCTTTTTAAAAATTGTAATATATAGCCATTAATAATCTATACATATTTTTGACTGCTTTTATTATTTAGTAACTAACGAATCCCCTTGACAGGGCAGGAAACAAACACAGTCATAAGGGCAAAAAATAAAATAAAATTGAGAAATGTGCCTACAATGAGGAGTATGAATACATCATCCTTGTCGTCAGATGAATGGGCGTATTCCACTGATGTCTAGCCCTGTCGAAAGAAATCCTAACCCTTGGCACTTCTTGTTCCAGATGAGACTTCGTTTGAAGCTGGAATTCGGGTGCAGATCCACAGCCAGGATGAGCCACCCTACATTCATCAGTTGGGATTTGGAGTCTCCCCTGGTTTTCAGACCTTCGTTTCCTGCCAGGAGCAGCGGGTGAGAGCCAGAAAGTAGAAGTTCCTCTAGCTTGACAAAGAGCGAATCGGGGCATTGTTTGGAAGAAGCTAAGAGTGGTGGGAGTAAGAAGGAGGGATGCCATTGACTGGGTCATGATACCAGATAGACAATAGTTGACAGAGTGAACAGAAGCCCAGAAAACATGTTTTTGCTATTATAATACACCATCCAGAACATCTTTTCCCCCAAGATTATATTGGCCCTGACCCTGCTGGCTTTTTGCCAAGCCTCAAATACTTGGATGTGTTCCCTGGCATGGGGTCAGATTGATATTTGAGTTTCTTGTTCATCTGTGGCAGATTGGTTTTTAGTTTGACTGCTAATGTACTGTACATGCTGTGGTTTTGTCATTTGTATTATGGTTTAGAATTTTATAAGACACCAGAATTGTCAAGGGGAGATTGGAAGCCAACTAATTCAAATGATGGATGGATGGATGGATGGATGGATGGATGGATGGATGGATGGGAGGGAAGGAGGGGGGAGGGGGGGAGGAAAAATTAGTTTTTCACAAGCAGGTCCTTTCCCCAATATTGTTGTTTCAATTCCAAACTGACTGGGAGATTTGGAAATTGTATTGTTGCACATCTGGAAGTTATTAAACTGGAGAAATCTGTAATGCAGCATCACGTTTCTCAAATGATGTTCATCCCTTTAGTCAGTTATGAACTATAAAAAAAATCAAACCTGTTTGGACTATAACATTCTTGATGAAACCCTTCTCAAAGGATGTGATCTAGAATTTATTTATTTGTTCATTTATTCAATTTTCTTAGTCAATTACTCCAGGCAGATTACAATTTTAAAAATATTACAATTAAAAATACTAAAACATTTTAAAATAATAAAAACACTAAACGCATCTAAAATAACTATGCATAGCAGCTGAGCTCCTTAACCATAATATAGCCAGGAAACGGGGCCCTTAACATATTCAGCACCCCAGATCATAGCCAGGTTTTTAGGGCCTTACGAAAGGCTAACAGAATATCATCATAACAGAGATCATAGGACTTCATAGGACTCATCATTGATTAGTAAGATTAGCTGAAGGAGAGGAAGGCTCTATATACTACTAAAACTCTCATTGTCAGCAGCCACTTGAGGGAGGGAGGGAGGGAGGGAGGGAAGGAAGGAAGGAAGGAAGGAAGGAAATGACTGAATGACAGGAAAAGAGAAGGGAGGGAGATTTCTGATGCTCTCTCCCAGCTTCACACAAGGAAACTCAATGTGGAAACTGGCAGGAAGTTAGAGGTCACTCCTGTTTCCACTGCTCTTTGGCCAGCTGTGGTCATTCTGTTTCTTTTTAGATAAGGAAATATCTCTGACATGATGATCTAATAGTGAATGGGTTGTCTGGTTGTCAATAAAAAGCATAATCGGAGTCTCACTGAACAGAGATATCTCTCCCACTCAGTTCCAGTCCTCAACCAGAAGCAGGTGCCGGGTGTAGACTACTGCTGTGAATTCTCCAGAGGAGATCATACTGTGAGTCAAGCCTGGATATCTTAATCAGGCTCTTGGCTTGCAAAGGAGTTAAATAAAGCAATAACTCTTATTAGCTGACAGCCAAAAAAAGACAGTAGCAGAACATATTTTCAGGTTATTCAGTAAATTATGCAGTTTTCCATCTCTAATGCAATTTGAAAGAAGGCACCAAAATACCTGCCAATTTTTTAAGGTGGCCATTTTTGTTTTCCTTGTCTAGCCTCTGATACAATGTGTCAATATTTGTGCGCTACTGAAATTGGTTTAATGGATATTCCACATTTCCAGGGAACTGTGGCAGTTGTAGTTCTATGGGATAGGAACTTCTTAAAAAGTATCCAATATTTCACAGGACAACAATTCCCAAGATCCTTTGAAGAAACCATGAGAATTAAAATGAAAAGCAAAAATGTAATTCTGAGGTATAAATACTTTCCACAAAAGGAAAAAAGGGGCAATATTATTTAAGATTCTGGAGTTGATTGCAAAATATGTCATTATTTGAGTCCAAGGAAAAACCTGAGAAGATAAATACAGTTCCTATAATTAGAGAAAGCTGTGTAGGTTTTAAAATCATATGACTCAAAAGTCATTCCAAGAAATATCCTTTTATTAAGCATTATTATCTTAATTGCATCGGATAGGGACAATTTGATATCTCTGCTCCTACTACACCCCACTGCCACACATTTTCAGATTAAATGCCATTAATGCCATCTGGCTTTCTCTGAATTTCAGCATAAGGCAAGGGTCACTTTAAAAATACTCAAACATATCAGTAAATTGGTGTATATGGATGGGTGGTTCATTTTCCCTTAAGAAAATGTTGAAGAAAATATTGGCATTAAAGAAAATATTCAGAGCAAAAGAGAAGCCCAAATTTGTACACTAAAGTTTCATTTGACAGACTGCATTCTGTCAAACTCTGTTGGAATCAGTTTGATTGGTCACTTCTCATCGTATCATTTCATCATTAGATTCTGATCGTGGAGTTCTGGTCCTGTACCATTTTAGTCTTCATCCACAGGAGCTCTTTGAGGGAATTTGGACCAGTCACTATTTCTAAATCCAACCTTGCTGTTGGGAGAATAAAATTGGAAGACAAAGTACTCTGCCTTAAGTTCTTGGAGGAAAGATGGATTTAAATCTAATGTCTAATTAATATTAGAAGATGCTGCCTATGTCTCTTACACTCAATGTTACCCAAACCCTAATCCTGCAGGATGTGGAAGCTATAATAATGACTGTGTTTTAAAGTAAAGATTTCCTTGGTACGGATTCTTAACTGCTATAGTGTGTAATAATTTAGAAAAACAAATACATGAACCCGAGATGTTAAAGAATCCCATAAAATCAGAGGGAACTGTAAAACCTTCAAACCTTAAGAATGAAATTCATGGTTAATACTTCAGGTTTAGAGTGGAGAAAAATAGGTATATGTTATTTACAACAGAGGTTGCTGGCTACTGTAGAAGAAGTCTGGCCTCGAAAAAGGATTTCAACAAGAAAATATATTCCTAGATTTGTGACCCAATGGAGAGCATTTTTGGAACAACTATCCAGTTCTGGAATTCCTTTCCTGTTCATTTGTCGATGTGCCACTTCTTCCAGCACCAGCCTCAGTTATACTTGTTCATCTTCTACTTTTTTTTTTAAAAAAAATGGTGCTATGATGCTTCCTGGCCTAGTATTGTCCACCTTTTAAAGTTTTTTTTAAATGGTTTGGTAGACTTCCTTTTATTTATTTTTTAATTTATTTAAACACATTGCTAATTGTATATTTTTAATCGGTTGCATCCTGTTTGGGGATTGTTTTTAATTAAGGAGAAGGGGGGGGTGAATATTGGATCGCACACATGCATGTACATGGAGAGGCTTTTCAGGTAACAACCTCACTGGACGAGTGCCGCTTTTTCTTGGTGTTTAGCTTGCTCCCCTTCTCCTGCAGCTGACCTACCTGCCCCAGCCTTGGGGTAGCTGCCAGGCCAGCCTGAAGGAGGAACAGATCCTGCCTGGCTACGAGAGCTACAGCATTGCTGCTTGCAGGCTGCAGTGTGAGAAAGAAGCGGTGCTTCAGAACTGCCAGTGTCGTATGGTGCATATGCCAGGTAAGGGGAGGCCTTCTCGGCCTGCCTCACAGGCTCCAGGCCCCTCGGTTGCCTGGAGAATCTGCTCCAGAAACTGATTTGCCATGAGCTTGTGGGGCCAGCCTTGGCTTTGCTCACATCTGCTCCTCACATCTGTTCCAGCACTTTGAATGTCACAAGCTGATACTCAGACACAAAGCTGGTGAAACTTTTCCCTCCGTTTGTTTCCGGCTTCAAAAAGTCTTTGAGTTGATAAATACAGGCAGTCCTCGACTTACAACAGTTCATTTAGTGACCGTTCAAAGTCGCAACGGCACTGGAAAAAGCGATTTATGCCCATAGCAGCATCCCCATAATCATGTGATCAAAGTTCAGAGGCTTGGCAACTGCTTCATACCTATGACCACTGAGGTGTCCCAAGGTGATGTGGTCATTTTTTGTGACCTTCTGACAAGCAAAGTCAATAGGGAAGCCAGATTCATTTAACCACCGGGTTACTAACTTATCGGCTGCAGTGATTCCCTTAACAACTATGGCAAGAAAGGCAAGCCTCACTTAACAAATGTCTTCCTTAACAACAGAAATTTGGGGTTCAATTGTGGTCATAAATTGAGGACTACCTGTATTTGATTGTCATGCTGACCTTAAAGGTATAGGAATCAACATAGATAGAGAGCATTTGTATACTAGTCTTGTTCATCTAGGTACTCTCTGACTGTGTTGAATCACACTCCCCATTACCCCAAGATACATCCTTCGGAAGGGAGAAGATTAGAGGAGTTGGCTTTGCACTTTCCCTCTCCTCATGCTACATTGCATATCCTGTCTGGCAGGGGGAAAAAATAAAACTTGATCCAGCTGCCGGCACCCACCTTTCTCCAAGGCCGTAGCCACTATGGATCAACTAATTTCAGCTTAGAGTTTTTCCCTGAGTCCAACCTGGTTGGACAGGTGTGTATATTTTTTTTCTCCATAATGATTACAGTCTAGAATTTGGGCATTCTAAGTGGGAAACTGTACTATCTCATACCCTGGGGTGTGTAAGCCTGAAAATAGTTCCATGTGTGCCATCCTTCAGTGATTCTTAAACCACCTTTACTTCTTTCATTAGCTATAGGATCTCTCATTGTCAGCAAAGGGCTAGAGTGCAATCCTTCTCACCAAATGCTATAATACTCTGGATCACCTCTGGAAATGTGTACTCTCCCCAATCCATCTTTCTGAGTCCAGAGAGTGCAGTGCTATTGACATGCACAGAAATCGCAGTGTCTTTGAACTCCATAGACTGAGTTATCTGTCAGGATGCTGCCCTAAATAATATTATTTAGCCCAGAGCATTGTTTAACTATGATATGAGGCTAACTTTTCCCAACTTGGTGTCTTGTATATGTGCTGAACAACAACAGCCATCAGCCATCCCTAACAAGTCAATTGTTAGGCTGACAATTTAGTGGTGATGGTAAGTCCAATATGTGCAGAGGAGAAAGTTACTTTATATTGTCTTCCTTTGGCTTCTAGTCAACAGATGCATTTATACCAAGGCAGCAGAACAAAAGACATATTCATCTACATCCACGTAGCAAAATTATTAGACACCTTCTCTCTATCCCAACTCCAGGAATAGCAGGAGATTTGGGTAAAGGAGACATCTCTGGTTAACTACTACCCAGGTTCTTCTCTTTCAGGAAATGAGACCATCTGTTCACCCAATGTCTACATTGAATGTGCTGACCACATTCTAGGTAGGTACTTTATGATGGTATCTTAACAAACCATGAAGGGGCTAGTAAGACCATCTGGACAACAGTCACAGTTAGGCAGAGGTAGCATCCAGCAGGTTCTGACCAGTTCTAGAGAACCGGTAGCGGAAATTTCGAGTAGTTTGAACCAGCAAATACCACCTCTGACTGGCCCTGCCCCAATCTATTCTCTGCCTCCTGAGTCCCAGCGGATAGGCTGGGTTTTCTTTTGTTGCCCTGCACAGGAGAACGGCACTGGGAATCAGGTTAGTGGGGTGGGGAGGGAATGGGATTTTGCAGAATCCTTCCCCTGCCATGCCCACCAAGCCATGCCCACCAAGCCATGCCCACCAAGCCATGCCCACCAAGCCATGCCCACAGAACCGGAAGTAAACAAATGTGAATCCCACCACTGTAGTTAGGTAAAGTTTTAGTTACTTTTGTGGGAGTAGTTGATTGGTTCTTAAGGTAGATTCCAGCCCACAGAAACTCTTGATTGGCCAACTAAAGCCCTGTTCCTTTTCGGAAGGCATGTGCGTAGCAAGAGACAGGAAGAATGGGGAGAAAAGGAGATAGATGATTTGGTGTATATGAGAGAAAAAGAAGAATAGTATGATAAAATATAAGGACTGGAGGTTGTCCAAACCTCAGCCCATTGCAGGAATCTACTACTGCAGCATCCCCAATAGATGGCTATCCATCTTAAACAACTGCAACGAAGAAGGGTGCAACTCCTTCCAAGGAAAGACGTTTGAACCATTTTGAACAGTTCCTGTATTAAGAATTTCCCCCACCCCCTGTTATCCAACTAAATTTTGTCCTTGTAATGTTTCCTGCCCTATCTTCCAGAAATCATGCCTTACATTTTTCAGCCTGAGATGCAGAACCCGAAACATTGTATTTCCCGCTGTTAAATTTCATCCTATTTACTTCAGCTCTAATGCTCAAGCCTATTTAAGATCTTCTTGTATCTTCTCTTTCATCTAAAGTATCAGACAGACCTTTGAACTTTGTTTCATCTATGAACTCCTCCTTTCTCCCAACTGAATGGAGTCATTAGTGTATACAGGCCTCTCTACCAAAAGACAGAGATCAAATTAAGTCGTGGTGACTTGGTCTTGATAAACCCATGCTGGCTCCTGCCATGTGCTGCATTGATTTCTAAATGCTGACAAACAGACTGTTTAATAATCTGTTCTTGAGTTTTGCCTGCTGTCATTATCAAGGCGACCACCCTGTAGTTCCTCAAGTCCTCTTTCCTTCCCCTTTTGGAAAGACGGAACAACGTTTATCCTACTTTAGTCCTCTGGCATATTGCCCATCCTCCACGATTTCCTAAAGATCACAGAAAGAGGTTCCCAAGTAACATCTTCGTCTTTGAGCTTCTTGAATATACTTGATCTGGTCCTGGGGAATAAAACTCATCCCTAGTAGCTAGACAGTCCCTAACCATCTTACTGCTTTTCTCAGTTCTTCTGTTTTGGTCCATTGGAACATACTGCTGTTCCCCTTTAGGGAACGGGGAGACTGAAGCAAAGAAAAAACTGAGAAGCTCTGCCCTTTGCTTTTCACCTGTAACCATCCTACCATCCTCTCTTAGCAGGATGCACCCACCCTTTCCTTTTTCTCCCTGTTATGGTTGACATGACTAAAAAGCCCTTGTTGTGGCTTTCCTTGCAAACTTGCAATTCTTTTACCCATAAGCATTTCTAGCTTCTGCAAGTATTAGCTACTTGATAGCATGCCTCCTTTGTAACTTCACCCAATTTCGATTTCCTACACAAATTCTCTTCAATAGCTCAGTCAAAAAAAAAACCCTGCGTATCCATTGTGGTTTCCTAAGCTATTATCTCCCCACTTTTCCCTCTCATCTAAGTGGTGTGTGATTGTGCCCCTAGCATTTTTTATTTTTACATTCCCAACTTAAAAGTTCCTTTGACTTGAGGACTTTTGTCCATGGGACCTCATCTAGTATACCTCTAAGCTCTCTGAAGCAAGCTGTCTTGAAGTCAAATATAACGTGTGTGTATAATATACTTCCTTTTGGGGTAAGAGTGATTCTTGAAACACAAGACTGTGGTCATTTCCATCCATGGTCTCACTATTTCCGGTTCTTCAACCAGTTCTTTACTATTGTTTAGGAACAGACCTGGAAGAACTGTTCTCCTGGTCTTCAACTTCCTAAAAAATGAGGCAGTCAGTAGAACTACTGGGGAATTTGGGGGATTTTGCATCCTTAGCTGAGCTTATTTTCCTTCAGACCTGAAAAAATAGCAGATCTTCTATTATTATTACAGATCTCCCTAAAAGTTCTGTCATCTGGTCCAAGGAGGGCTTTGTTCAGATTTTTTTTTTCTGACTTGACAATTGCAACCATAAATTCTTCTCCTTTGTATTCTCAGCCAGATGTTATTGCTGAACCCTTAGGCTGAAATTCATGGATTGATACAGATGAATGTAGTTCCTCACATATATTGCCTCCTCCCCTTTTTTCAGATCTATTAATTTTGTATAAGTCATAGCCTTCTAGCTTTGTAATCCACTTGTTAGTTACATCCTGCCGAGTTATAGTAATGCCTAAGACATACTCTCCTTAGAGAGAAAAGGAGGAGGTGATAACAATAAATGATGGCAAGTATATTGCTCTGTGAATGGAAAATGTGTGAAAGAATGGATATTCACATTGTCCATGAACTTTGGGTTATAAATTTCTTTCTTTTGTTTACCTAATGCACTTTTGGTATATAGCAGAGGTTCTCAGTCTTTTCTTCACCATGGACCTCCTTTCAATACTTCTTGTGGCCATGGACCCTCCAAGACTTAGCTCAAGATTTAAATCATAGCATTTCTTCAAGCATTTGCAGATCCCCTGGGATGACACTGCAGATCCCCCAGGGGTCCACGGACCACAGGTTGAGACCCACCGGTACATAGTGTTTTTAATGAGTAGTGCCTCCACCCATTTATACTTCATTTTTTTTAAAAAAACAGGAATTGTTTATATGATAAACAAAATGTTCAGGGTTGCTGAAATCCCAATTTTCAAGCTTGGATTTATTGAGCTTGATAGAGGAGAAAGAAAATAGCTTCCAGCCTGATGAAAATGTGCAGGTGTGATATGGCTGAGCTGAAACTACAAATGCTGAAAATTCTGCAAACTATCCTAAGACTGCCGTGTGGGAATGTTGATCAGTAGCCATTCTGAAAGGGATTTAGCGTAAGAGCAGGCAATTTTGTTGTGTTCCCCCCGTCCCTTGCAATGAGAGGAAACTACTATGCTTGTGGTGGGTATGGACATAGTGGGTGGAGATGTTATTTATTTGTTAGCTGGTTATAGTACACTACTGCAAAATTGTGACCCTTGGCAGTTTACAAAATAAAAACATCCATACATCTGCAGTTATGACCAGAGCTACCCTCTCTCCCGTCTCAACTTAAATGAGTACACCCAACCTTCTGCTTCCCATGTTTGTCTCATGAGACTCACAGGCAGAGTAAAATCAAATACTTTTTTGGCAGAATGGCCAGAGTACAAGATAGCTAGGGTATAAAGCTCATGGGAATCGGTCTTCTTGAGTGCTCTGTCCCCCATTCACAAACTGGGTACCCGAGATCTGTTGAGCAACCACTGAGGATAACTTGACTTGGGTACATTTGTGGGCTGTAGTCAAAAATGCCTGAAAAATGTATATGACTTGAAGCCCTGGGGATGCCCGCCAGTGATCTAGCCCATGTGGCATAGCCTTGGAGATAGCAATTTCCTTTTCTTCGTGATATGTCATTCTAAAGCAGATCCATCCAGCCCATGCATGCCTTTTCATTCCTAGATACAGCCGTTGAAGATTTCCAGGAACGCTGTATCTGTCCCATGCCATGTAATTTGACCCGCTACGGCAAGGAGATTTCCATGGTACGCATTCCCAACAAGGGCTCAGCCCGGTACCTTGCTCGCAAATACAACCGCAATGAGACCTATATCCGGTGAGTATCACGTTGCTGAGGAGCAGCCGAAGAATTCAGAGAGTAGCTCAAGTCAGTGGGCAAACCTCCTAGATTGTGGTGGTGGCACAAAACTACAGCAGAAAAGGCCTGGAGGGTCTCTACGGAGGGATATATGGAAAAACTCTGTTTGTAAATCTTCTCTCTCTCCTGTTTCCATTGTTCCCATTGTCCTAAGGGAAAACTTTTTGGTGCTGGATATCTTCTTTGAGGCACTGAATTATGAGGCGATTGAACAGAAGAAGGCATACAATCTGGCGGGGCTTCTGGGTGAGTGAGCCTACACACCTTCTTCTTTGCCAATTCCCCCGGCATGAGGACTTCAACCCTGGAAGCAAAGCAAGTGCTGAAGGGGCAAGGATTGTGTGAGCGGATGAAAAAAGGGTGAGCGAGCAAGCCAGCCTGGCTTCGACTCAAGATGGCTTTGGCTGAGGACTGCTACCAGACCCATGTCGGGTCTTCTAGCAATTTTTGGCACTTTAGTGGTTCTTGCTGTTCTTGAGCTAAGAACTGCAGGAAAGCCATCCAGTCTCCATAAGTGGTGTCACCTCCTTTGAGCATTCTTTCTTTTAGAACAGAGGTCCCCAAACTTGGCAACTTTTACACTGGTGGCCTTCAACTCCCAGAATTCTCCAGCCAGCATAGCTGCCTGGAGAATTCTGGGAGTTGAAGTCCACCAGACTTAAAGTTGCCAAGTTTGGGGACCCCTGCTTTAGAAAGCCTCCACAGTGAAAGAGAAAAGGGCCCTAGATCAGGCTTCCAGAATTCTCCACAAGGCATCACCTATTCAAGAATTATGGCTGGCCCATAGAAGCATGAGCACCTCTCCCTCCTTCATCTTCTGGAGTGCTTCCAAAGAGAAGGAGGTGATCATCCCAGGGAAATCAGAGCCATGCTTGCCATCCGGCCTTCAAACGCCATCATCACCCAGGCCTTCCCAGCTATCGATACGGGTAGTCCTTGACTTAAAGCAGTTCATTTAGTGACCATTCAAAGTTACAACCACACTGAAAAAAGTGTCTTATTTTTTACACTTACACAACCGTTGTAGCCTCCCGCTGGTCACATGATCAAAATTCAGGTGCCTGTCAGCTAACTCATATTTATGACAGTGATCTGGGGTCATGCGACCTTCTGACAAGCAAAGTCAATGGGGAAGCGAGATTCACTTAACACCCATGCTGCTAACAAATCAACTGCAGTGATTCACTTAACAACGGTGTCAATAAAGGTTCTAAAATGGGACGAAACCCACTTAATAAATGTCTCACTTAGCAACAGAAGTGTTGGGCCCAATTGCAGTCATAAATTGAGGACTACCTGTATTCTCGACTCCTGGCTGGTTACTGTTGAGGTAATTCCCCGTTAGGAGAATGTGCGCATACAGGGAGACATATAGAGAATAGTGTTTGAATAATACACACACAGCATACAGATACAGATACACTGTACAGTAAATGTAGGGTTTTACTTCCAGAAAGGTTTAAGCAAAGTTCAAAATAGGCAGTCCAAAGTCATTCACAGGTAAATCAGTCAGTTTTTCAATCCAGGGATAATTCAGTAACAAAGTCCAGTGTTAAAAAAAGTTCAGGATCAGACTTACATTAAATCCAGAAATATCAGTCAATTAGGAAAAATGGAAGAATGGCAATACTTTCCAACAGAAGGAAACAGAGATACACTCTCTTCTGAGACTAAGGCTAAACAACCCAGGTTTCTGGCTCCATCTTATGGCCGTTTGAGAAACCACACCTAATTACAGTTTTGCATTTTCGTAAAGATACAGTTTTAAAATGTTTATCCTGGTTTATATATTTCTAACCCAAATACCTGTTAGGTGACTTATATTCCTAACGTTTACTTTCAAGATGCCAATCTTTGTCCTCTTCTTTGTCCACTAGGGGACATTGGAGGCCAGATGGGCCTCTTCATTGGGGCCAGTGTCTTAACCATCTTGGAAATCTTGGACTACATCTGTGAGGTAAGAACCAGTGGTGGTATTCAGCAGGTTCTGAGCAGTTCTGGAGAAACAGTAGCAGAAATTTTGAGTAGTTTGGAGAACCGGCAAATCCCACCTCTGACTGGAGATTTTACAGTATCCTCTTCCCCTGCCACACCCACCAAGCCATGCCCACAAAACCGGTAGTAAAAAAAATTGAATCCCGCCACTGGTTAAGAACCCACTCAGAAGCAGAATAGGCTGGGCTGGAAGGAGAAAGTGGCCGCACTGAAAAGGCCGGAAAGCCAAATTTTTCCTGCCCCGTACTAAATCCATTTCTGTCACTAAATGGTGAATCCTCATCTGTTCATCTATGGAGATTCTCAGTCCAGGTCATGGTGGTCCCAAAGGTGCTTTTTCATGAGGTAATTGGACTTTCTGGGTTTTTTACTTTGAAGACTTTCACTTCTCATCCAAGAAGCATCCGAGAGCTGAAGAAGCTTCTTGGATAAGAAGCTATACAACCAAAAAGTCCAATTACCTCTTGAAAAAACACCTTTGGGACATCTGAGAGTTATGCTGACTGACACATCCCCCCCCCCCCCACTGTGAAATAAATACCTCTCCCTAGAGCCAAAGGCTGGGGAACCTGGCATCCATTAAGTGTAATTCTGGATAGCTCCAATTGGCAGGACCAGTAGGTGGGATGATCAAAGCTGAAGTTCAACTATATTGATAACCATAATCTGCACTATGTGGATTTTGGGTGGCAGATAAGTGGGGACATTTATACAGGTCCCAAAATGGACAAGGTCGGGATTTTGGTTTTCTGGACTTGGGAAAGTTTTTGTATATTTCTTATTGCAAAGAGACAGGAAACAATGACTTTGATTTTCTGCAGTCGTGTTCAAAGGAGGTCCTGAAGACCACTAAACAGGGCTCCATACCATCCAGAGGACCAAACTGTGTGTTTGGATTTGATTTTCTGTGTTACATGAACCCAGACAACAGTAGTTTATTTATTAAAATACAGTTAAACAAAGCATAGTGTAATATAGTGGATGAACACGCTATTTATGCATTGAAATGTATGTGCATAACGTACTGTATTTATGACTTACTATGTCTATCTACCATTTCTTTGACTGAAGCAACACAAAGAGGTTTGTAATTAAAGCAAGTATAAAATAGATGCAACAGTATAAAGCAACATTCAGTGAACCTTAAAATATATTCAATAAAAAATAGAGGAAGGGTATTTTTCCACTCTTCAAACAAAAGAGGCTTGCTGGCGATATTTCCCACTATTCATGTCTTCAGATTGCCAGCTAAACAGTGGAGAATACAATTAGAAGCCCCAACCCTTTGATGAAGGACCCCAAAGGCTTTCAAAATTGACCCATAAATTGTACCTTTACAGTGGATAAATTACTAAGTGATGGGTAGTAATTTTACCAATTGGCAGCTCTGATTGCAGTGGTCTACATGCCTGAACAATCAATCAATCAATTAATAAATCAGTGATAGAGTCTTACATTTTAAAAATAGAGATCCCTTTTGTTACGGGTCCTCCTGCACACTCCCTACCAGAACGCAGCCTGTAGCCTTCCAAAGTTCTGTACCACTGCTTTGCAACTTTGGGCATTTGGCCTCAGTGGCCAACATGGTGAGCTTGATGGGCAATAGAAAACTAGGGAAAGGAATGTATTTGTTTATTGTATTATTTCATTATTTTATTTGTTTTATTTTATATTTGCTGACCCATCTCATTTCCAATGACTTTGGAAGGCTTACAACAGAGGTAGTCAACCTGGTCCCTACCACCCACTAGTGGGCGTTCCAGCTTTCATGATGAACAGTAGGGGTTTTGTCTGGTACTTTATAAATCGCCATTACTGTGGAACCGGTGGGCGGTTAGAAAATTTTACTACTAACAGAGATACAAAAGTGGGTGGTAGGTATAAAAAGGTTGACTACCCCAGGCTTACAACATTAAAAAAAACATTGAAAATCATCAAGGGTTCCAGTTATTTCCTGCAATACAGCCATCTCAGAAGACAAAAGCCCTACTGTTCTCCTGTCTTTTGCTGTGCTCCAGGTGATTCATGACAAGGTGGCCCATGGCCTACGGCGCCCCAAACCTGCCCTAAAGAAGCCTTCGGGCAGTATTGCCACTCTGGGACTGGAGGAAATCAAGGAGCAGGTACAACATAGGGTTCTTCCTCACCCAAACTCACTCCTGCAGTTGCCCGAGAATTGAAGTAGGAAGGGGGCTTAACTGGAAGCAAGAAAAATGCCATTCAGATGAGCCTGAAGCTTTGAACCTAGTCAATTAAAGGTAAAATAAGAGGGGAGAGGAGGAGTGAAAGACATCACTTGCTACTGTGTTGAATAGAGTGATGTGCCAATTTTATGAGAATTTTGAAGGATTTTGTGGACCAGATGCAGCAAGCTGAGTGATCGGAGATATAATGAATTTATTTGTCTACATTTATTTTTATCTATTTATTTTTTAATCTACATTTTGAAAGAAATATTCCACAATGTTGCATTTTCTGTATATCTAAGAAGTGTGGATCTCATATCTCGGCAGCTGTTTGCAAATTATCCATCAGCTTCCCCCAGCCTGGAGATCGCTAGACATGTTAATTCTACAACTGCCAAAATTCCCAGATCTGTTGGGGACTGCAGAATTTCCCCCCCTAAAATCATGGGCAAAACTGCAACTTTTGGTGTGATAGTAAATTATGTCACACATGTGTATCATTACAACACACTGACCCCATTTTCCTGTATGTGTACAGTTGGATATCTAGCTATACCATTTTTATTATAGGCTTCCTATGTTCTAGAATATCCAATGTTCTAGATTTGAAAATGAAGTTGCCTTAGACTGAACCGGACTCTTGTCCATTTCGCTTAATGTTGCCTATTTATTTATTTATTTGTTTCCTGCCCTTATTGTTTTTACAAATAACTCAAGACAATGAGCATGTCCAACATGTCCTTTGCCTATTTTTCCAACAACAACAGCAACAAACCTGTGAGGTGAGTTGGGTTAAGTGACAATGACTGCCCCAAAGTCTCCCTGCTGGCTGTTATGGCTAAGGCAGGACACAAACTCATGAACTCTTGCTTTCCAGCTTGTTGCCTTAACCCAAAGGTCTCCAAACTTGGCAACTTTAATACTTGTGCACTTCAACTCCCATATCTGTCTGAGGAATTCTGGGAGTTGAAGTCCACAAGTCTTAAAAGTGCCAAGTTTGGAGACCCCTGCCTTAACCATTAGACCAAACTGGCTCTATACTGACTGGCAGGAACTCTCCAAGGTTTTAGATTTGCCAGTCTTATCTGGAGATTTCTGGGCATGAGCCCGGGGATCTTTGGCATACAAAGTAGGGTCAACCCTTGAGAGCCAAAGTAGTGTCAACCTTTGAGAGCTCTATTCTTTTTGGAAAGATTTGTAATTATTTTCAATAAGAAACAATGGAGTCTACGTCAGATGTCTTTTTGCATTGGGGACAAGTAGAAAGAAATGTGTTTCGGTGGAGTCTGAAGCTCAGTTGACTTTTGCATGATTAATCAGCCACAGTTTTCATTAGTTAACCTAATACGAAAACCACAGCAAAAAGTCTTGATTGTATCATGGCCCAGTTCTAGTGTGCTAGTGACGGAGCGGATTGTACAGCCATTCCAGATTTATAGAGCTTAAGTATTTGGTTATATTAATTCTATCCCTTCTTTTGCAAAAGGTAAACCTTAGGATCCAAGATCCTGACTGTAGTTTTCTACTTATGCCTGAAATCCTTAAGAATTGAAATCCAGGAAAGTGTTCAAGTTCTAACAGCAGTGCTTGATATTGGTCAGAATGGACAGAATGACTTACAATGAATCGAGGTAGGGAGATCAAGAAATTAGGAACCACTTTGAGCGCCACCTTGGAGAGCTAGGGATAAAAATAGAATTAATGCTATTATTCAGGTTTTCCTCTCTAGGTCAAACACAAGAGACAAAGTACTCTAGAATTATGGCACTGTAGAGTTGGAAGGAGCCATTTAGGTGAACCTTCTGCTCAATGCAAGAATCCAGATTGAAGAACTCCCCAATAAGATGTTGTCTTCCCTTTAAACACAGCAAATGAAGGGAAGCCCACCACTTCTCAGGATAATTGCTTCCACTGTCAATCAGTATCAATCAAACATTTATTGTCAATACCCAACATGCGTACAATAAAATTGCAAACAGTTCATACCATTTTTAATAGCACTTTTGAAGACAAGTCATTGAGCCATTATACCAAATTGCTTCAACACCAAAGCTCACTTTAAAAAAAAAAGAGAGAGAGAAGACCATCCAGAAAGTAAGAGAATAGAAAATTTGCAATTTTGCTTAACTCAGTCCTAAGTAAATACACAGTCCAAATTACTCAGCTATTACAATTCAACCCCTTCTCCTAGTTCCATTTTTAAAAGCCCAACAGATCAGTCCTAATCAACACCAGTTAAAGTGCCCACCACCGCAGTCATAATACAATGGGGCTACTATGTTGGATTGGTATAACCCATCACCTCCCAATTACCGCATATAAGTGCAATGCCATATAGTTGCAATGATAAGAGAGCAATGTTTTAAAGAATGCCTAGCAACTCAGATAAATTGCATTTAAGGAAAAGATGTTGCATTAGTAACCAACTCCTGTCTCTGATCATACCATTTTTTGCGGGTGGTGGGGGTAGTAGGTACATTACTGCCCAATCACAGCGATAACAAAAGCTCAGTTTCTGAATTGGTTTTTACCAGGCGACAATCATGTCTCACCAGGGAAGATTTTAAAAAATCCTGTTGATTTGTTGCTTAAAAATGGCAAAAAGCAGAAATAACCTTTTCTTGTAAAATTGGCAGGTGACACAGAGTGCATTTTGGGTTACACTGAGCTTCTACAAAGGCTAAATGCTTGCTCTTCTTTTAATGAAAGTTCAGAATCTGAATTTACGCTTAGCCAGTATGGAATGCATCTCTTGTCACCAATAACTACAACTCTTACACATATATTTTGCTTTCAGAACATATATTCTTTGCTTTTTTTATCTGTAAATTGAATGCAGCATATATATATTTGTGTGGGGGAAGAAAGAAAGAGAAGGAAAATAATTCAGCTATGATGGATCACTGATTAAGTATTCTTTGGAACCCCTGCAGATAACATTTTGCTAAGTAAAAAAAAGATTTTACTGTTTATAAAACAAGTGAACTGCTGGAGGTAAGATCTTGTCAAGTTAGGCTATATCATATCCAGGAAATTTAATGCAGCCAAACAGGCAAAAACCTCTTCTTCAGCTAGCAGATTCACAATAATGCCTAGAATATAGGAGGTTGAAAAATTGTTATTTGATAAAGAAACAGCAGACCTACTTTTAAAAGAATTTGAGAGCTGAAGAAGATATCCATCCTGACTTTCTAGCATATGAGCTCATAACAGTAAATATAGGAAGATGCACATATATGGTACTGTACATTGAAAGGAACTATTATTTAACCAAAAAAAAAAAAAGAATTTTGCAGTAACTGTGTTACTGCAAAATGCAATATGAAATGTGTCCTTCTGGAACAGCCAAGAATTTCACAGACAGGGATAATTGAGGGCAATGGCCGAGCAATTGCTGCCTGGTTGAAATTATTAGGAGGTCCTTTCTGATACTGGAACCTGTAATTTTGCCCTACCTCACCGTCTCAACAGAGGTCTCCTGAAAACTTTCTTGACCAAAAAGATGTAGCTATCTGTTAAACAACGTAATCTGGAGGAACATTTTCCAAAATAAAAAACCAGGATCTTCAATACCTTAAAAACAGACACTTTGTCGCAGTCAACTCTTCAAGGTAGGCCGGACCAGGAAACCAATTTCACACATTTTGAGAGGAACTACTGTATATTTATTGATGTAGTTTGTGTTTTCCCTTCCCTCTCATATCTTAGGAAGGATTAAGGCAGAGCCAGTCTAAGTTTCTTGTTAATGTTTTCATTTTTTCCAGGTTTAAAGTATGTTCTTGTAACTATCTCTTCATTATTACTCTAATGTTATGCGAACTCGGGGGTTCTGTAGGGTAGAGGGATTTAACTCTGGCCTTGAGAAGGGAGTGGCAGAGAAAAAATAGTTACTCAGAGCCAGGAGTAGGCTGCTACTGGTTCGGGCGAACCGGATGTTAATTTTACATCTGGTTCGCCAAACTGGTAGTGAGATGACTGTCTGGCCCCGCCCACCCCCCCCCTCCCCGAAGTCTCTATGTGGCCTGTTTTGCATCCCAGGTAAGTGCAGGGCCCATGCGGAGGCTTGGGGAGGGCGAAAAATGGGCCTCCCAGAGCCCCCGGAGCCCAGGGAGTGGGGGGGAAATGGGCCTCCTGGAGGTTCAAGGAAAGCCTCCAGAACCCGGAGAGGGTGAAAATTCTGCCCCCCCGCCCACTGTAGTGCAGGAGGTGGACTAGGCCACGCCCACCATGACCACGCCTACCCAGCAACCGGGCAGAGAACTGGTTGCTAAATTTTTTGAAGCCCACCCCTGCTCAGAGCAGGGAAAATAGGAAACATGAGAAAGTGACTCAAAACAGTCCCCTCCCCCCTTGAGTTCATTCTCCTTAAAAAATAGAGTCAGTGAAGATTTTGAATATGCTTCCAAGATCTCTTAATATGCCCTAGGGCAATAAAGTCCCATTTCTGAAATCCCTGCTGCAGGTCTGTTTCTTGACCTTGCCCACTTGAAGGGTTGGTGGATGTAGATGTTAAACTTGCATATCCTTGACTTATGACTGAACGCCCAGTGACCATTCAAAGTTGCATTGAACCCCCCAAAGGGTTTTATGACCCAACTTCAATGTCTCAATGTTTCCCCCCATAGTCATGTGACTGCATTTTGGATTGGTCGGCAATTAGCCCACATTTAAGGCCGTTTGTGGTGCCCTGAAATCACATGATTGCAATTTACTATGGTTTTCCCGGAAACTAGTATTTACTGCCAGCTTCTGGCAAAACTGCCTCGTGGTGAACAATGGGTTCACTTAACAACTGCTGTGTTTGCTTAACAACCACTGCCTTCAGTTAATGATGATGGGGCTTGCTTTAAGATCATAGCAGTTGCTTAACAACTGCCGCCAAAAAGGTCATAAAATCAGGTCCGGTCTCTAGGTTTATGACTGCTTTATGAACATCA